TTGAGTTTATTTTATTAAGTGTTCATGATTTTTTCTTGAAATTCAAAGAGCCTCCAGACTATATGTTTTTTTTTGCAATTTCACCATATGTTTTTTGGAATTTTATTTTGGAAAAAGCTGATGTTAATTTTTTTGTTTTAACAAGTAGATGATACGTGGGAAGAGGTTTGGTTAAAGTTCTAAAGCATGAAATTTTTGTGAGAAAGGTAAGCTTAAACTTGCAAGAGTAAGTGTTTTGGAAACTGCAACTAGTTTTTTCCCGCTAACCTATTTGAATAATGCAAAAGTCTCTCAGCTTTTTACAGCATCGGAGCTTATGTACTTAGCGAGTAGATCGCATGTTGAGTAGAATTTTAAAAAATGAACTTTTTGTTTATTTTTTGGTTGCGTTTCGTCTGCTTCTTTGCTAAAATAACTCAACGCAATCCAAAAAATCGAAAACTCGCTGTGTTCACCATAAAAAGTCTTCTCAAAATGCGATCCAGCAAAGAATTTCATACTAAAATATTTTATTTTTACGGTTTGACCTTTGATTACGCTTGCGATTTGCAACAAGCTATGATTCTCGGAAATGTCAAATTTTTGATTTGTTAACAGTTTTTTTATACTTATTTCGCTATTTATCCTACTAAATCTGATATCATAGATTTAATCGAAACAACAGGTTGTTAAAAGCCTATGCCCAGTTTGTGTAAGAAAAAGTTATGGCCTTCAAACAAGTCGGAATTTTGAAACGGTGACAGTTTTTTGAAAACTTGTTGACTTCACGCGAAAACTGCCGTGCCAATTCTCAGGATGTGTTCAATCAGGAAACTCTGTTTTGGGAATCTTCACTGCTTAAGCGGTCATAACGTGCTTTTTGCAGAAAAGTTAATGGATTTTGTAAATCCGTTTGACCGTTTTCTAGAAGTTTTGATCGTTTTTTTTTTAGAAACTTTTGAATTTTCTTGGAATTTACGCAATAAAATCTAAGATGAAAATTTCAATTGAAAGAACCGGTTGCTATAATGGTTTCTGCATAAGTGGCGACTTCTTAGGTTTTTTTGTGAGAGAAATATTATCTCTTTGGGAAAGTTGGTTATTTCAAATTTTTTTACTCTTCTCACTTAGTTTGGTAGATAAACAACTGAAGTAAGGTTTTGGGCAAAGTCCAATTTTTGAAATCACATTTTTTGTACCGCATCAGTATAGCAAATTCATTCAATATCAAACACGTGCCTCCAGCTTTAGCTGGGCCCTCAGTTATTTTTTATCGAGACATACGGTTCGCCTAGTTCACTACGGAAAATTTTGGTTCACCTAGTTTTTTTTTCATCATTTTACGTTTATGCTTGTGTTGTATCCTAAGTGTGTATTTGTTTTTGAGTTCTTCTCAAATTCGTTTAATAATTGATAGGCAAATAAGGTTATTCGATAACAAAAGTGGTGACAACTTATAAATAGTTTCAAAAGCTTCAAAAACTTTAATTTAAAAAACTTTAACTTTCAAAAGTGGAATATAAAAAAGGACATGTGAAGTTGCTTTATCAGTGAACCTTAGCAATTTCGATACTTTTTCTTGGCTTAACTAGATGTAAAGCGAATGCATTTGTACCGAAGGTCTGGGGCTCGAGGCCAGGCCGGACCTTGTTTTTTCAGTCAGTGAAAGAAAAGTTTTGTCTCAGTTAATGTTAATTAAAATTGTCTTGCGTTTGTCTGCTCATGTTTTGCCGGCTTATTTGCCACATCGGGGTTTTTCTTGTTCGGTCTGCAATTTTCATCGTAGATGCTAGTTTTTTTACTTGTTTTTTGTAAAATTAGTAGCCCATCATTGTATATTTTCCTTGGTTTTCCTTGTTCGTTTTTTTTTCGCTTCAAAGCTTTATTCGGCCTAACTGGTTTCGGCTCATTTTTTATCGGCTTAGTTGCCCTAGTTTGTGTCGCTTGAGAGGCAAAATTTTTTTTTTTGTGAAAAAGTCAGGTAGTTTCTAATGCAAGATTTTTTATTAACATGATTGCTCAATTTTTTATGAGATTAATTTCTTATGGTATCTTCATTCTTTTTGGCGCAATGGCATCTACCCATTTGTCGACTAAGGTGCAGTTTGATAATTTCCTGTTAGATAAAATCAGGTATTATGAAAATGTATTAGATTTTTTTTGAGACGTTTTGGCAAAGTTTTTCAGTATTTTCCTAAATATTAATTTTTCTCTATCCTTGCGATAAGCAAGAGTATTGCAACCGGATACTAGACTTTTTGCCCGTAAATAATTTTGGTCACAGAATGGTCAATTTAGGAATGATAAATTTTAAGAGATGCTCAGTTTTCTGAAATTTCAAACGTACCTCATCTTGGTACGTAAGGTAATAGGTTGAGTACCTTTGAGGCAGTAATTATTTTTTAAAATTAGTTAATTGAAAAAAAAATTGATGTTTTTCGGATTCGTGGTTTTTGGCCTAGTTTTTGTCGGTTAATTCTCCCTTTTTGAAAAATTTCATTATCTAGTACCAATTTTTCAACCTAATTTGTAAAGCATCGATATGATTTTGATTGTAATTTTTTTTACTATAATTGAAAATTCTGTAATTTGTTATTTTAACCTGTCTGATATTGAATATTGTTTCTTAAGTTTTTTGACAAAATGGTTTTTGCTGACGTTGGACCGGCTGAGTCAACTTTTATTTTTCTAATTTCAAGGGTCGAAAACTCCTGTTCGACAAAATCAGGTATTATGATAATGTATTGGCTTTTGTTTTTTATCTTCACTTTTTTGGGACGCTTTCGAAATTTTTCAAATTTCAACAAAAAGGTTAGTTCAGTCGAAAACTACTCACTGAAATTCGAAAAAACGTATCAATTATAAGAGCGCCTACTCACATGTGTGCTTGCATAATCCCCTTGTCTCTGTACTTTACCCTACTGTCTACCGCCTGTTTGAGACGCTTTGGGGGAATGTCTGACAGATTTTTTTGGATTTCGTTTCCTCAAAAATTACTCTCCCAAATCTGAGATTTGGATTTCAATGGATAGAATGCGTTATGGGAAGCTCACCTGCAAAGGGGCTATGCCCAAAACTTTTTCAACAAAAACTATTTGAATTTTTTCGAGATAATCTCCCAAATCTTGTATTTTTGCATTCAATCGAAACAACCCAGATATTTTTACACAGAGGTATGATTCGTAGAATAGCCAAATTTTTGATTTTTTAACCATTTTTGGAAGCTTTGTTTTTTCTCGAAAACTACCCTCCTAATTTAAGGTTAAGTTTTTGGGTTCAATAGAGAAACCCGGGCTCGGCAATGTTCTGTTTTCAAGCGGCCACGACCTTCTCAGTGTAGAAAAAAGTGATACTTTTTGGAAAGTCAAGTTTTTGAACTTTCGTTGACCGTTTTTTAGAAATTTTTTGGTTTTCAAAGAAACTATCCTATCAAATTTGAGATGAAGGGTTAAATTGAAAGAACCGGTTGCGAGAAAGTTTCCTACAGAAGCGACGACCCCTATTTCTCGTGAAGAAAATTTCCTGTATTTGGGAAGATAGCCATTTCTTAAAAATTTTTACTCTTCTCACTTATTTTGGTAGAGAAGCAAGTAAGGTTTCTTGGAAAATCCAATTTTTGTAATTGCCCATTTCATCCAGCATAAGTAAAACAAATTCGAAATATATCAAACAGCTACCTCCAAGTTTTACTGAGACCCTTGTTTTCTTTTATTGAGTATACAGTATTTGGTTTCTTTAGTTTTTTTCGACTTATCATAATCTTTGTTTGTTGTATCGCTAGTGGTGCAAAGCTCAGCTTCGCCTCTTGTGTAGAAACTTCTTTTTCGATTTCCAAAGAAATGATAGCAATGAAATTAGTGCCCACTTCTCTGTTGCCTGAATATACGCCTAGCACTTTCCGCAGTCTTTGACAAAGTCTGTAGGGGTAATTTTTGACCCATAATTTTGGATTTTCCCCCTTTTCTCCAAACTACCCCCCCCCCAAATCTGAGATTTTGGAGTCAACGGAGAGAACGGGATGTGGGAAGTCCTGCTGCATTAGCAGCTACGCTCAATTGTTTACACAAAAAGTTGTCTTTTTCGGAAAAGTCAGTTTTGATTTTTTGACAGCTTATTCAAACTTTTTGACTTATATCGAAAACTACTCGGACAAATGTGAGGTTTTAGATTCAATGAAGAGAAAAGTTTGTGGAAACCTCTCCTGTATCAGCCGCTATGACCAAATTTCTTTACAAAAAAACTTATCGTCCTCACTAAAGTCATATTTGTGATTTTTTAAAACTGTATTAAGAAGATTTGTTTCGAAGACTACTCTTCCATACCTGAGATTTTAGGTTCAATCAAAAGAGTGGCCGGTGGAAAAATTGCTGATTAAGCGGCTACGCCCACATTGTTTTTATACTAAATGTTATGATTTTCGGAAAAGTCGAATTTTGAACAGTTTTTTTTAGTCTTTGGCTTTTTTCGAAAACCACCCTCCCAATTCTGATATCAAGGGTTTTATCGAGCCAACAGATTCTGGGAAGCCTCAGTTCATAAGTCGCTACACCTTAAATTTTTAACGAAAAAAGTTATGTTCTTGGGAAGTTTCGAAATAATTAAAAAAATGTTCTCTTTGTTTATTAGAAAAACAACTGAGGTTTTAAGTGAAGCCAATTTTTGTAATTACTCATTTCATCCCGCATCAGTAGAAAAATTAAAACAAACTTATCAAACAGGTATCTCCATCTTTAGATGGCCCCTAGTATTGAATGCTTATTTAGTACTGGTAGTTGTGTTTCTCGACACTATTCTGAATTTTTTTTTTTTCAAGTTTTTTATCTCGATTTTGTTATTTTCGACTCTTTTTCTATTTGCTAGCTTGAAATGCTAGTGTCGCAAGTGATGCGAAGCTCCGCTTTGCCGCCTCTGTATTTGCACTTGTCCAACCGCCTGTTGGCTATGTTTCACAGAGGCAGCAGAAGTTCTTTCGATATTGACAGAAATTCATTTGACATTTGGTGAGATGTTTTTGATTTGAGGTCGGAGTAAACTGTGCACGGACTTCAGCTTTACCCTACTGCTTTACCATTGGATAATATCCTCTCTCTATCCCTCTTCCTGGGCTCACATCCCAGCCACATGGTCATGGTACCTTCTGCACATAGTCTGTGCTCTACTCACTACAGTACTAGCTGAATACCTTTGCATGAGGACAGAAATGAGAGCAGTGCCAATAGGCGGCGGAGGAACTTCCACTAGCAATATTACTCAAAATTCATCCACAGCGTCAACAGCTATGCAAAACAGCGGCGACACTTCGTCTATGACTGAAGGTGGCGGCGCAGAAAGCCAAGTATAGTCAATTTAAGAGTTCTGAAAGAATGCGACTATCAGTTGCAAGTCTGAGAGGAATGAGAGGAAATGAGCTCCAGTTTAGTTTAATAATGTAGTATTTATCAGAAGTGAGAAAAATCAAATCTAAATATTTCATAGCTTTTTTATGACTTTATGATGAGGATGATTGGCTCTCCAGAGAAAATATAGTTAAATGATTGTTTTTTAACTTGGCAACCGCGTTGATTTTTCTTCTTATTTAAAAACGTTGACTGAAATTTGCACAGCTAAATGAACCAACCGCCTATTCTTGTAATGATATTTTTTTATTTCTGTTCTATTTTTTTCTTTTTTTTCTCAGTTAATGATTTTCAGTTTAGTCACTTTGTTCCTTGGAGTATTCCTTGAGCTCAGTATTGGTCCGAACTCTGGGGGAATCCCTTATGATGAACTGAAAGATGGAAAACTAATATAAGACAATTAATTTTTTGTAAAAGAACTGAGTATTCAAAGAAATCGCAAAAATCCATATAAAAGAGAATCCAAGATATTGAAATCAATATTATACTATGAAAAGTTAAGTATAAAGTGTTTTCGGAGTGTTACATCAAGAGACAAGAATTGTCACGAGAACATCCAGTAGTTGCACCCGCTGCCAGGTCACTAGGAGAATCTGTTAATGTCGTTTTTCAGTTTAAACCTTTCAGCCAATAAAGGTATGTTAAGAGTCGATGGATGTAGTGAAGGCTCTTATATAGATTGTGATTTTTTGTTCACGTTTTTTTTTCAGGAACAGTCTTAACATTTTTTAATGCTCAAATTTGATTTTTCGCGGTTTGATTTTTGGTTTCTTTTTCAGTTCAATTCATTTACTTTCTTAAAAGGGAGATAAACTCCACTATCGAACAGCAAAAGCGTAGAGGTCATGAAAACTGTGATCGAGATGTAGTTTCGAAAGTGGATTTAAAGGTTCAGATTTCTCAGCGGAATAAATTTTTTTTAAATGATCGAGAATTCACAAATTGAGTTAGTTTTATCAAGAAGCTAAACAGCTAATACTATTTGGGATGTTGCAATGCAAATGTAGAATAAAACAAGAGTATAGATGCATATAAAATAAGCACAGTTGGCCAAGCGGACTAAGGCAAAGTAAGCTAACGCCGATTATATGTGTGAAATAACAGTTGACGTAGGTTCGAGTCCCCCACCTGCCCATGTATTAATATACTAAAAACGGGGGTTACTTCCTATTTTAACTGTTTTTTGGTTCTAATTCGGTTCAGCCTTGATTAAGGTTGACCGCCAAAAAGAGCAATTTGTCTCAAGGACATTACCGACCGGTTCTTGTGGCTAGCTTGCGCCGATTTGTACCAAAAACTGGCAGATGATAAAAATGTTATATGATGTTCAGATCAATAGAAATAATGCCGAAATTAATTTATTGACCGAGTTATTTGCCGAGAAATATCTCTTATTAATTTAACGAATTTGGATTCAATTATTTTCGTTTGGAGATTAGCGTCCATACACAGTTAGGGCCCGTCTTTTACTGAAAGATATTTGGAAAATCAGTGGTCAAAGTTGGGGTTGGGACGACGAATTGCCAGAAGACATAAGAGATAAGTTTCTCGAGTGGCACTCCGGTCTCCCTCTCTTGGAACAATTGACTATTCCCCGTTGTTACTTCACAGAGCTTGTTGATCAAATTGAGCTCCACATGTTCGGTGATAGCTCGCAGGACGTTTTCTGTGCTGTTGGATTTTTGCGTGCGCGACTCGCGAGCTCGCATAAAACTCAAATATCCTTCATCTTTGGTAAAGCTCGCGTTGCGCCCATGAAAGCGCTATCTATACCGAAGCTAGAGCTTCAAGCTGCTCTGCTCGCCACACGACTAAAAGATGATATACTGACCGCCCTTACCGTCTCAATTAATCATGTCTTTATGTGGACAGATAGTACAACAGTTTTGCAGTGGCTAAACTCCACTGAAAAATTACCTGTATTCGTCGCTAATCGTGTCGGCGAAATCCTCGAGTCGACCACTTTTGATGAGTGGCACCATGTTCTGAGCGGCGATAATCCAGCTGATACCGGTACGCGGGGGATTTCTTCGGAAGCCCTCAAGGATAGCAGCTGGGTTATTGGTCCGAGCATTCTCAGGACTACTGATTGGCCGTTTATACCCGACGAACGTGTAATCAATAAAATTCGTTTGAAGGGTCCTTCTTGTGATGTTGATAATTGCTTGGAGACATCATCTTCCTTCGTCACCGATGTCACATCAATCAAACATCCCGAACACGGGTTCAATTGGGAAAGGTTCAGTTCCTTTACAAGATATAAACGAGTAGTCGCTTTTATGTTGAGGGTGTTGCCTTCACATAAGCATTTTCGTGGTAAAGACTTACGAATCACCGACCCTACTGAACTTGATATTGCAGAAAGCAAACTGATTCATCTTGCTCAGATGGAATCCTTTCCCGTTGAGTTAAAAACACTCACCGCTGGCAAACCTATTAAAAATAGTAGTAAAATTGCCACATACTCGCCATTTATCGGTCCCACTGGAATCATTCGTTCCACCGGACGGATTGTGCGCTTAGTGGATACCGCGTTTGATACTAAGCACCCAATAATACTCGACGCCCGACATACCTTAGTTCGTTTGTTGGCCCGCAGCCTCCACCATAAGCATTTTCATCAAGGATTAGATTACATGCGCTCCGTTTTAAATATGAAATATGCAATACTTGGGTTGCGTCGACTACTTCGGTCTATCGAAAATCAATGTGTGACATGCCGTAAACGCAAAGCATGCACCATCCAGCCAATTATGTCCGATTTACCTGTCGAACGTCTCGGATATAAGCAACCACCCTTCAATCATACGGGTGTGGATTACTTTGGACCGCTTTACGTTCCGGTTCGCAGAAGCACGGAAAAAAGATGGGGATTCCTTTTTACTTGCCTCACCACCAGGGCTGTACACCTTGAGATTGTACCATCTCTGGACACCAGTTCGTGTGTCATGGGCATTGAACGGTTCGTTGCGCGCCGTGGTACACCAAGCACAATCTGGTCGGATAATGGCACGAACTTCGTTGGTGCGGAAAAGGAATTACTTGCCTGCATCAAGAGCTGGAATGGCATGGCTCCGACCATTTTTGCACATAAAGGTGTTACGTGGAAATTTAACCCGCCAGGCGCACCCCATCATGGCGGCTCCTGGGAACGCCTCGTCCGAAGCGTGAAGCGCGTGCTGTACGATATCCTAGGCAGTAGGCGAGTCACTGAAGAGGTGTTAGGAACAACACTCTGCTTAGTTGAACAGGCTTTGAATTCGAGGCCAATCACTCCCGTTAGTACCGATCCACGTGAGTTAGAAGCGTTAACCCCAAACCATTTTTTGCTTGGACAACATGCCACAAGCTTTCCTTCGCTTTTACCCGGGGAGCACTTCGATCACAAGAAAAGGTACGTGCGAGCGCAGTCATATGCTAACGCGATTTGGTCTCGTTGGCTTCGAGAATATGTTCCCTCGCTGAATAAACGTGTCAAGTGGCACACTCATTCTGACTTCACTCTTAAAACAGGCGATCTCGTGTGGGTGATTGAGCCCGATAGTCCGCGTGGGTACTACCCTCTCGCCCGAATCGTCAAGCTAAACTACGGCCAGGACGGTTGCGCCCGATCCGCCCTTGTCAGGACCGCAACCCGTGAAGTCACGCGGCCGACCGTTAAGCTCGCTCCGGTTCTTCCTTCTTCAGGGGGGGAGGATGTTGCAATGCAAATGTAGAATAAAACAAGAGTATAGATGCATATAAAATAAGCACAGTTGGCCAAGCGGACTAAGGCAAAGTAAGCTAACGCCGATTATATGTGTGAAATAACAGTTGACGTAGGTTCGAGTCCCCCACCTGCCCATGTATTAATATACTAAAAACGGGGGTTACTTCCTATTTTAACTGTTTTTTGGTTCTAATTCGGTTCAGCCTTGATTAAGGTTGACCGCCAAAAAGAGCAATTTGTCTCAAGGACATTACCGACCGGTTCTTGTGGCTAGCTTGCGCCGATTTGTACCAAAAACTGGCAGATGATAAAAATGTTATATGATGTTCAGATCAATAGAAATAATGCCGAAATTAATTTATTGACCGAGTTATTTGCCGAGAAATATCTCTTATTAATTTAACGAATTTGGATCAGTTTTGGAGATTAGCGAGCATATGGGAGAAGTGGAATAAATATAAATATTTTTAAGAGACATGAGCGTAGTGAATACTCTTATGTAGGTCTTGTGCTTTTTTGTTTTAAGATTTGCTTTTAAGCGGTTTGACTTTTGATATCTTTTTCAGTTCAGTTTTTTTTGTTGAAAGGAAAGAAGTCTCCACTATCGAACAGCAAAGTAAAAAGATCACAAAAAACGTGCTCGACTTCTAGTTTAGAAAGTGGAATTTAATCTGCAGATTTCCCAGATGAATAAAAATTTATCTATTGATCCAGTTTTTTCAAATTGGATTAATTTTATTTGTTTTTAGAGGTCAGATTTCTTCAAGACCATATGTTTTTTTCTTTGGAGTTCAAAATTTGAAGTTTTTCAAAAAAAACACGTCAGTTTTTTTTCTTTTCTTGAGTTCATTACTCTTTTCCAACTGTCCGTTGGCTATGTTTTCATTTTCCCCCGTTTTGATTGTCACCTACAAAATACAAATCAATTTTTTGTATATTTTTCAGTTTTCCCATTTATTTTCAAGCTAAGTAAAACTTTCCGCTAGAAATGAACAATTTTAAATGGGTGCCTGTTTTTTGACTGCATAGCTTCCGATTTTATTTTCGTTTTAAGTTATTCAGCTTATTTTCTAGTACTTAAGCGTCTGATTCTTAGATTTGTTAGAGTCAGGCTATTTCATTATAAATTCATGGTAGTGGCGTAGAGGTTTCGGTTTCTTCCAGATGCGACTAAATATTTTGAGAAAAATCTATAAATTTCTCTACTTTTACCATTTTTTTTCGTTTTTCTTTGTTTCGGCTCATTTTCTATCGGCTTTGCGTCGTTTGAAAACCAAAAAGTTCATGTGTGCGTTGAAAAAAAGTTTATGTGTGCGTTCAGTTTTTTAGTCTAATTTGAAATTTTTCAGCTCAAAGGGTTATATGCTCAGGTATTTTGAACTTTTATTGTTTAGTGAGTCTCCTTTTTTCCTTTGCAGATTTTAACTTGTATTTTCTTGGTTTGTCTCTGTTTCAAAACTAGTTTTATTCGTGTTGATAGATCTAATTTTTTCGGCATTTTCGATTTTTTATCGATTGTTTTTCCTGTTTTTCTCGTTTTTTTTCTTGTTTTATCGCAAGTGGTACTAAGCTCCGCGTCTTTCCGTATTTACACAAGCAAAGCTTGTGTGATATTACGGACTCTCTTTTTTCCCAACCTAAGTCGCAAATATTATTGCTCTTTTTGAAAGTACTCTTTTATTGCAATATATGCATAAGATCAATAACCAGCGATTAAGTACAGCAAATGCTAAGGATATCAACACACACTATTGTATTACAAATAGCACTTTAGCTTCAAGGTGTTATGGTTCTGTAGCGTAGAAGGAAGGAGACCAGCAGCAAAATAGGAGGGTTCGAACTTCAGCAGGGTCGCATGTTTTTAATGAACTTTTTCGTATATTAGTTAAAATGCGTCCGCTCTATAAATTGAGGCATGTTAGTTGGTTTATTTATTTTCAAATTGGCTGGTACTGCAAATGCGTCATAATTGGCTTGCGTCACTTAGAAATTATGTAGACTCATAATTGGCGTGCGCCATTTAAGAAATTTTCTAGACTCAAACTTTTACTCATTCAGTTTTTCTCAGTAGCGTTGTCGGTCACATTTTTGCTTGTGTATGCGAAGTGCAACTTCGGGTCTGTGTTTTTTTTAAATTTTTGCTGATCTTTTTCTACAATATCACTATGCAAGTATCGCATGAGAATCAAAATTTAAGATATTTTTAATTTGATTCTTTCAGTATATATATATTTTTTTCAAGAAAACTTCAACGAATTCATTTTTTCAATTTTTTTTCATAGTCATGAACGTAGTGGAGACTCTTATGTAGGTCTTGGTGATTTTTTACTGTTTTTTTTTTCAGAAAAAGTTAAAATTTGTTCGCGCTTTGTTTTTTTTGCGGTTTGAATTGTGATTTCTTTTCAACTTGAGTGCATGTCTATTGTTAAAAGGAAGGCAAACTCCACTATCGAATAGCAAAAAGGTAAATGTCGCGAAAAACTTGATCAACTTCTAGTTTTGAATGTGAAATTTAGTTATCATAATTCCAGCGAAATAAGATCTTTACCTATTGATTCAGTTCAAAGAGGTTTAAGGCCACCTATTTTTTTCTTTTAAGTTCGAAAGTTTCAAAATAAGTAATTTTTTTGTTTCTTTGCGTTCATTACTCTTTTCCAACTGTCTGTTGGCTATGTTGTTATTTGGTGATGAAATAAATCAATCAATGAATCAAACATCTGTTTATTTATATGATCGCAATCATGAAAAAAGTACTCAATTTTTTCTTTAGATCCTAATTGATTGGCCCGAGTTGAAGTATTTTGGGGTCTTATGCACTAAACGGCCCAAAATCAATTTTTCTACATCGTAAGCTGGAAATTATTCGATCAAATTTGATTGGGTAATTTTAGCCAATCAAATTCAAGTTACACAGTCAGGCATTCCGATCAGCTTTTCTAGCAGATAAAAATATTAGCCGAAATTGCCAAAAAGGTAGAATTTTGAGTCAAATTATCAAATTAATTTTGAGTCACTTGTGAAACCTTGCGCAGACAAGCAAAATTCAGTAAAATGGCTTGACAAAACAAAATTCAATTGAAATGGCAGAAAATGTCGATGGAACTTGATTGGATAATTAGCCAATCAAATTCATCCGCATTAATTTCAGTTCAAGATATGTAGAAATAAGGAAAATGGGCCGTTTAGTGCATAAGATCCGTATTTTGTTTGAAGTGGCATTATAGCAGTTTTTCTTTTGAGTTTTTTCAAAAGATTTTTGACAATTATTTTTGTATCGCAACTGAATCTTGACTACTGGAATACTTTGAAGTTTTTAATGTTAAGTATACCGCAATTTTAACAGTTAAAGTTTTCTAAGCCGAAACTGCCATATATTTTTGTGTCGCAAGTGGTGGGTACGAAGCTCTGCTTCGTCTCTGTGTTTCAACTGTTTTTGTTTTGAATGAAATAACTGATGTTTTGTTGTTTTTCGTCTATTTTATCGGAGGTCGGATTAAATAAAAATACTTCGTGTCTTGTTACTATTGGCTGTGCTTAAAACACACCGACAATTGTTCTTTTATCTGACTAGTCTTACCATAATTCTTCAACTAAATAGTATTTTATATACACAACAGTGTGGTAAGATTGTAAAAGAAAGCAGTGGTTTCTTCCATTTCTACACAACATGAATCAACGGACGATTTGGTCGTGCGTGCTATGTTAAGAATAACGTCATTTGATTTTAGAGATATGACGACATTGCACAAATAAGAATTCAAGTAAAATAGTGTCCAGCAAATGAGACGACGGCTGTTAAGACGACAACCGTTTTTGATGGGATTAAGACGACCCTACACATAGCAATTCGAGCAGTTCATTTTAAATGTTTTAACGCGCATTTGTCGTTTGAAGGTCTTGTCGTCTTAATATCATATCGTCTTCTTTACCTAGCACCAAGTGAAATACTGCAACCATCATATCAGCGCACCATTTTGCATCTATGTGCTTACATATTGTATTGAAATTACACAGAAGCTCAGAATAAAAGCAGAAAATTAATAGACAGCCTGTTTCATTCAAAAAAAATATCAAACACTTTATTATATTCTGCGTCTTTTGGTGGAAATATTTGGTGTTGTTTTTTTAGTTACGTGTTTTCTTCAGATACAAAAATGGATTTCTTTTCGGGAAACCGATACCAATTCAAGCTCGACAAATGCCTCAGCTTCACTCAACTGTAAGTTAGAAAATTGTTTCACTAGTTATTGGGTCCCACTGATCACTCTTGTATGACATCGTGCAGAGTTACTGCAGCTAGCTCTGAAAAATTATTGTTGGAATCGGATTTTTTGTGTGCAAAATCAGTGAAACCAATAGAAGTAGAACGAGAATGTAGTTATATTAAAACCTTTTCACTGATTTGATTGATTTCATTCATTCAATACCAGGATTGCTTCCGTGTCATTTACACCACGGAGGATAGCATAGATTTGTAACATATATAGGTCGCGATGATTCCCAGCAAATTCCAAGAGCCTATTTTTTTTCTCGGAAATTCGAAAGTTGAGATTCACAGACCGCTTGTCTAAAAAGCAGGCTCCACAACAACTTCAATTCAACTAGTTGTTATTGTTCTGGCGCAAAAATGGAAATGGAAATCTGAGCGTCCTCGTGGGGCGGATTTAGGGGGGTTTGCAGACCCCCCTCCCCCCACTCAGGGACTTGAGACTCTGCCGACCCAAAGGGTCCCCCCTTGTACAATTCTGAGATATACATTTTTGGCTTACTGACCCTAAAAATTTACTTAAGGCGGCTTTGGCGCCAGTGTTTTATAATTATGAGGGAAAATGCGCGCCGAAAAAACGCAAATTTGTGGTCAACATTTTCCAAAAAATGCCATTTTGGTGTTTTTAAAAATTTAGCTTGCTGCGAAAAAATTTTGACCAAAGCAGGGTCTTCAGTGCTTTGTGAGAGCTCGGAAAATCAATTTAGGCAAGCTAAAAAAAAAGACTCAATATTTTTAAAAAGATGTTGAAATCCCCCCCCCCCCCCCCCCCCCCTCGAGAAAATCCTAGATTCGCCCCTGGCGTCACCTTTTAAGGCTATTTTTTTTAACTTCTTCGGTTTTCTTGTCAAGATGACTTCTCATTTTGACTTTTGATTTATACATTTTTTTCAGCATCTGGATCATTTGAACATCTTAAGATTTGCCTATCAATCGCGCCTTAAATTAGCCTTAAAATTTTGACCAAAAAATTGCGTTTTTTCAGCCCCCCCCCCCCCCGCTCTCAAAATTAGTATATTGGCGCCCTTAGAAAATTTTTAGGGTCCGTTATCAATGGATATCTACAAAGGAAGTGTAATTGTAATCGGGAATTACACTTTTTTCCTTGAAAAAAATTTAGTAACCGGTCCCAATTGATCTAGTGGCAAAGCCAGGCTCAGGCTCTAAACCCTCCTCCCCCCCCCCTCCCACCTCACACGAGCATCAGTTTTATGGTTTTAAGAGTATTCATTCAAGGTTGATTATGAAGACCAAAAATGTTTGTCATGGCCTGATTAGTCTGCATGTCAATTTTCGTGACAATTGGAAAATATGAACAGTTATTTTATTTATAAAAATTTGCAGGTGGGGGAAAGGAAAAGAGCCCAAAGCGCTTGCACTGAGGTCCTAAGATCTGCGGCATGAATACCGGTCGAGCATCGTCTTTTTTTCGATATGTATGGAAATTGAATTTTCATTTGGAAAATTTTAATGTTCGACTACGTGTTCGCTTACTTTTTCATCGGCTTTGTTTCTAAAGCGCGGACTTATATGCTGGTTTAAGCAATTCTTATTGGAATTCGTTCTGTCATATGTAAATTTATCAACTCTGACTTAGTGCTATTGTTTTTAAGAGTTTTCTGCTTAAATTCTGCTTGATGTTATATCGGCCGAGTCACCTCATTTTGCATCGTTTGAATGGAAAAAAATAAGTAAGTGTTGTCTTTCAGGACGAGTGGGGCCTGAAAACTTCGAATTTCAAATAATATATTTTAAAAATTTCTAGACAACTTGTTTGGCTCAACTGGTGTTTGCCGAATATTTCTAGGCTTATTTTGAATGCTCATTTAACGGCATAGATTGTGTTTCTCGACTTGCTTTTCTGAAATTGAACAGCACTCGAGACAAAATAAACGAGACAAACAAATAATTTTTCCAAATCATTTTTGTCTTAGTGACGTCCTTCTCATTTTCTATCCGCTATCTTGCAGTGATACGTTGGTGTGGTATCGCAAGTGTTGCAGAGCTCCGCTTCGTCTCTGTGGTTATGTTTAAAATCTGTTCTTTTTACAATATGCATTTCAAAGTGCGCTGAAGATATAGTTTGAAGAAATTGATTTAATGGAATTGGAATTATTCATCAGTTATATAATCAACAAATCAATTGCTTTTAAGTAAGTTTGATATAAGATTATTTAAAAATAGCAATTAGATTAAATAAACTTGGGATAGCAAGTGTGTTGCAACTGGGTAGACCTTTTTCCCCGTAGAACTTTGTTCACAGGTATCTTCTCCTGGCCTCTGTTGGAAATACTGCAAAGACATATTTTTAGCATGTTAGCTTTTTAAATATCCAACCTACTCGAGTTTTGCTTTCTACTGTGATTGTAATTTAACTAACTCGATTTGAAAAAGGGACTTGATTTTTTTTTCATTTTTATCGCTTCGCTTGTGTGAGTGAAATTACTTTTCGGAAAAATCCATATTTCTCGTCCCTTATTTGATATGGGTAGGGACAAAATTGTACGGTTGATATGAAAGCCACCCTAAAATAAGGGGAATCAAGTAAAGTTCGCACCAAATATATCTGTTAGTTTCTCCTAAACTACATTCGGTTTCTGTTCAAGATCTAAGGGGGCCAAGAGCCATCTGAAGAATGTCTATGCGTGCATGACCCTGTGTCTGCTGGCAGCAGTGGCTGGCTCTGTGATGTATCTGCAGTGGATGCGTCTGGCTGGATTCCTACCCCTCGTCGGGTCCATCGGATCACTCCTCTATTTGGGGGCCACCTCCTCTCCCGGACTCAGCCAGAAGAGAGTGGGCGCACTGGGACTGTTCGGATTCTGCAATGGTTAGTTGACTTCTATGGTCAAATTATTCACTTAAATCTCCATTCGCTTCGTTCGTTTCTCTTTTCATCGTATTTGATCGGTTAAGTGGAAATCGGAAAGTGCAAATACATGGCCATTTGGTTGCTGACATGTAGTAATTGAATTGCCAATTAGTTCTTAAAACCTTTATTTTGTCACAGTTTTGTTTATGTGTAATCTCTTTTTGTCTGTTTTAGGTCTGTCGCTGGGTCCGTTGTTGGACTCTGTGATTGAGCTGAACCCGGCCATAGTGGTCACTGCCCTGCTCTACTCCTCCTTCCTCTTCCTCTCTCTCACACTCGCCGCACTCTACTGTCAGAAGAGGTGAAACACACTTACAGAAAAAAAATACTGTAAAAACATAGAAAAATTAAACATACGCCTAAGCAATGAGAAGAACAGCACCAATGTCTAGAAAGCAGTGTTTTTAGAATGGTAACAAGAGGAAAATATGGTCATGAAAAAAACTTTGGTATCGTTTTCATGATTTGAGCGAAAATTGTCTATCAGGAAGTTATAGATTTTGTCTATCAATATTATTTCAAAGCGTTTAATCTCGTTTTAATGGACATGTAAGCGTAATTTATTTAATTAATTAGAAACTTAGTTTAGAGTTTCCAAAAGGAGTATTTTATTGTTTCTATTGCGCAATGTGTATCTACTCTAGGCTGATAGAAACGCCATCGATTTATATTGGATAATTTACATGCATAATTGAGTTTCCAAGATGGTGACTGTTCTTGTTTCTGTTGCATAGGTCCCTGCTGTACCTGGGGGGCTTTCTGATGGCCGCCCTGAACATCATGTTCTGGAGCAGCATGTTGAGGATGTTGTTCGGAGTGCGTCTGCTGGGAGGTGTGGAACTTTATCTGGGACTGGCAGTGTTCTGTGGATTCATCCTCTTCGACACCCAGATGATCATCTACCGATTCGAGGACTGTGGCGAGAAGGACTTCATATGGCAAGATTTTTTGTTCAAACTGCCCCACTTGGGCTGAATTTCAAGTTGATGTTAATTTCTGTCTCAATCTTTATCTATCTATCTATCTATCTATCTATCTATCTATCTATCTATCTATCTATCTATCTATTATATATTTAAATGTGGGCTTCTCTATCTCGCCATGTTTACGCTTTTTCAACATTATTTTTGCAGGTTTAACAAAAGATTTTTTTTTCACGCTTAAGCTATATCGTATATTGCAATGCTTCAGAACTTTTTTCCATTTTCCTGTTTTAATTCGGTGTTTATCTCGAAATTGATAACCATATGGTGGGATGCTGCCAGGGTTTTCCCAGGGGTTGCGGTTTTTTTCCTCGAAAACGAATACCCGAATCCTTAAAGTTTATGTGATAAAAAGAATAATAGAAAAATAAAATCAAAAGTAGAGTTTTCAACCCTGCCGTTTGCTGCTGTCAGGGTATTCTCAGGGGCTGCAAATCTTGGCTCCAAATGTGACTGCTTAAATGCTTTTAGTTTCCGAGATGTTTACTTTTTTGATTCTTTTTATGTATGAAAGTTTTCAATTCTAGTGATGCGCTGTCAGAGTACTCTGAGGCCATGCAAATCTTGCCACCAAATATGCCTGCTTGAATCTTGCCGAGATATGTCATTTCATGATTTTTTCAAATATATTTCAGAAAACGTTTTAAAAAATGCAGGAACATTGAAATTCCCAACCCTGTAGTGTGGTGCTCTCAGTGTTATCTCAGTGGTTACAAGTCTTGCCTCCGAATGTGACTGCTCATGCCCTTCTAGCTTTAGAGATGAGTGACGTTTTTTCTGATTTTTCGAAACTTGAATTAAAAAATTTTGAAATTTCCAATTTTAATTTGGATTTCTCTCAGGGAACTCTCAAAGGTTGCAGATGTTGCCTCTAAATTTGGCTGCTCAAATCATTTTAGTATCCAAGATATCCCTGTTTTTACACCGAAGACTTTAGTCAAGGTGTTATGGTATCGTGTAACGGTTTTTTTTAATGTTGTCTGTTGTCAAGTGTCGACAAATAACGTCCACAGTTATCAATTATCATGTGGGCTGGACTATATCGCGCTATGTCACGTGATTGCGTATGTTTGTTTCTTTATTTGTTCATCTTTATTTATTTAATTATCTGTTCTTCTATTTATTTAATTATGTTTAGTTTCAATTCTTCCCTTGCCATTCTGAACAGGTGGTTACAAAGTTTTAGCTAGTCACTGTATGATTTTCTGCCAGCAGCTCAACTGGTCTGTGTATACTTGTATTAGGTACACAGTTTTTTTTCAACTGCTGTGTATACTTGTTTTAGGTACACTGTAGTTTCAATCAATTGATCTGTGTATACTTGTATTAGGTACACAGTTATTCTATTTCAACTTTTGTGTATACTTGTATTAGGTACACTGTAGTTTCAATCAACTGGTCTGTGTATACTTGTATTAGGTACACAGTTTTTTTTCAACTGCTGTGTATACTTGTATTAGGTACACTGTAGTTTCAATCAACTGATCTGTGTATACTTGTATTAGGTACACAGTTTTTCTATTTCAACTGCTGTGTATACTTGTATTAGGTACACTGTAGTTTCAATCAACTGGCCTGTGTATACTTGTATTAGGTACACAGTTTTTTTTCAACTGCTGTGTATACTTGTTTTAGGTACACTGTAGTTTCAATCAATTGATCTGTGTATACTTGTATTAGGTACACAGTTATTCTATTTCAACTTTTGTGTATACTTGTATTAGGTACACTGTAGTTTCAATCAACTGGTCTGTGTATACTTGTATTAGGTACACAGTTTTTTTTCAACTGCTGTGTATACTTGTATTAGGTACACTGTAGTTTCAATCAACTGATCTGTGTATACTTGTATTAGGTACACAGTTTTTCTATTTCAACTGCTGTGTATACTTGTATTAGGTACACTGTAGTTTCAATCAACTGTCCTGTGTATACTTGTATTGGGTACACAGTTTTTTTTCAACTGCTGTGTATACTTGTATTAGGTACACTGTAGTTTCAATCAACTGGTCTGTGTATACTTGTATTAGGTACACAGTTTTTCTATTTCAACTGCTGTGTATACTTGTATTAGGTACACTGTAGTTTCAATCAACTGATCGTGTATACTTGTATTAGGTACACAGTTTCTTTAGTTTAACTGATCTGTGTATACTTGTAATAGGTACACTGTAGTTTCAATTAACTGGTCTGTGTATACTTGTATTAGGTACAGTTTTTTTTCAACTGCTGTGTATACTTGTTTTAGGTACACTGTAGTTTCAATCAATTGATCTGTGTATACTTGTATTAGGTACACAGTTATTCTATTTCAACTTTTGTGTATACTTGTATTAGGTACACTGTAGTTTCAATCAACTGGTCTGTGTATACTTGTATTAGGTACACAGTTTTTTTTCAACTGCTGTGTATACTTGTATTAGGTACACTGTAGTTTCAATCAATTGATCTGTGTATACTTGTATTAGGTACACAGTTTTTCTATTTCAACTGCTGTGTATACTTGTATTAGGTACACTGTAGTTTCAATCAACTGGTCTGTGTATACTTGTATTAGGTACACAGTTTTTTTTCAACTGCTGTGTATACTTGTATTAGGTACACTGTAGTTTCAATCAACTGGTCTGTGTATACTTGTATTAGGTACACAGTTTTTCTATTTCAACTGCTGTGTATACTTGTATTAGGTACACTGTAGTTTCAATCAACTGATCGTGTATACTTGTATTAGGTACACAGTTTCTTTAGTTTAACTGATCTGTGTATACTTGTAATAGGTACACTGTAGTTTCAATTAACTGGTCTGTGTATACTTGTATTAGGTGTAAAACAGGAGGCGTTTTGCTACACATACAAACACAATCTTTTGTATTTTATTATAGCTATAGAAATTGATCTACAATGCGTAAGTACGACATTTAGTTCTACGATTGTTATTTCAGGTCCTTTGTCAATATTTCAGGCTTTGTCAATATAGCAAAATTTTGGTGTATATATGTGTTAGTAAGATTTTTAGTTCTACAACGTTTATTCAGGCTCTTTGTCGATATAGCAAAATATTGGTGTATACATGTGTTAGTACGATTTTAGCTCTAGAATTGTTATTTCAGGCTCTTCGTCAATATAGCAATATTTTAGCGTATACATGTGTTAGTACCATTTTTAGTTCTCGAACTGTTATTTTATGATCTATGTCAGTATATCAAAATTTTAGTGTATACATGTGTTATTACGATTTTTAGTTCTCGAACTGTTATTTCATGATCTTTGTCAATATATCAAAATTTTATTGTATACATGTGTTAGTACCATTTTTAGTTCTCGAACTGTTATTCCATGATCTTTGTCAATATAGCAAAATTTTGGTGTATACATGTGTTAGTACGATTTTTAGCTCTAGAACTGTTATTCCATGATCTTTGTCAATATAGCAAAAATTTGACGTATACATGTGTTAGTACGATTTTTAGCTCTCGAACTGTTATTTCATGATCTTTGCCAATATAGCAAAATTTTGGTGTATACATGTGTTCGTACGATTTTTAGCTCACGAACTGTTATTTCAGGCTCTTTGTCAATATAGTAAAAATTTTGGTGTATACATGTGTTAGTACGATTTTTAGTTCTAGAAGTGTTATTTTATGATCTTCGTTGATATATCAAAAATTTAACCTATACATGTGTTAGTACGATTTTTAGTTCTAGAACTGTTATTTCAGGCTCTTTCTCGATACCGCAAAATTTTGGTGTATACATGTATTAGTACGATTTTTTTGTTCTAGAACTGTTATTCTTCAATTATTAGTTGTTCAAGTTGTTTGGTTTTTGCTTCAGTTTCTATGCCTTCGGTGTATTGCGCGTAGCGCCTATGTTTAGGATTGTTTGATAGGTTTGAAAACAAACTTAAATTTAAAAAAACTTTGGTTGAAATTCTCAGTGATAGGGTGGGGTGCTGTAAATGCACTCTCAGGTGGCTTATATCTGGATTTCAAATATGACTGCTCAGCGCCTTTCGCTTTTCTAGATATGACGCTCTAATGATTTTTCAATAGTGTTTTTATTCAGAAAAATTTTTATCACAATTTGCATTAGTCAACCCTCTGGTGGGATGTCAAGTTACTACCAACAATAGCAGATGTGACCTCAACCTTAACGTTCTCGCTCATTTTTTTTGAGAATTTTCCCGAATGGTATTTCAAAGTTACAACTGAGAAAAAAGAGTCTGATGCTGGATTAAACTATTGACGACAGCTTTGAGTCATTTTTTATATGGAAAGTGCAGTTGTATGCTGTCGGCCATTTTAGCATTTTATTTTTGAGTTGAAAATACAAAGATCTGAAACCCATAGTTTGGAGATTTTACCATCTATTATATGTTTGAATGCGTCTGCGAGGAGTGGCTTGGCAGGCAGGGTATATCAGGGGAGAGCGAGAGAGGCACGGCAGCGCAGAGCCGGGTGAGGAGGATGGTAGGGCCAGAAGGGGCAAGGCCAGGTAGAGGAGCGCAGGACGAGGCGGGCAAGGCCAGGTAGGGAAGCGCAATTCAAGCAGGAACATGCAAGGCAAGAAAACAGTGCACGGGGCGAGGTTTGGCAAGGCAGGATAGGGCAGCGCGGGGCAAGGTATGGCAGTTAGAGGAGGTTCAGAGGAGTGGCTTGGCAGGCAGGGTATATCAGGGGAGAGCGAGAGAGGCACGGCAGCGCAGAGCCGGGTGAGGAGGATGGTAGGGCCAGAAGGGGCAAGGCCAGGTAGAGGAGCGCAGGACGAGGCGGGCAAGGCCAGGTAGGGAAGCGCAATTCAAGCAGGAACATGCAAGGCAAGAAAACAGTGCACGGGGCGAGGTTTGGCAAGGCAGGATAGGGCAGCGCGGGGCAAGGTATGGCAGTTAGAGGAGGTTCAGAGTAGGGCAGGACAAGGCAAGGCAGGGCAAGGTACGGAGGAGCTGAGTAGGGCAGCGCAAAGCAAGGCAGGGCAAGGAGTGACAATTTCTGGTAGGGCAGCGCATGGTGAGAGAGCGAGCCAGAGTAGGGCCGTGCAGAACGACAGGGTAGAGCCAAGGTTCAAGACAGGGTAGCGTAGCGCAGAGCGAGGATGTGCAAAGGGCACATGACCGGGCGAGGAGAGGCGAGGCAGGGCAGCACACAGTAAGGCCAGAAGCAACGCTTTATCTAGCCATCTATCATCCGCTCATCCATCCTACCAGCAATATGTCAAGCCATCCATCCAACCATCTATCCGTTCGTGCTATTACCCAACCATCTACCTATTCTTTCATGCATCAATCTATCTATCCATCCAGCCAGAAATCCATCCAGTCATCTATCCGGTCATCCCTCCATCCATTCATCTATCTAGCCATCCATTTTCTGTTTGTTCATCTATCCAACCAGCAATATATGAAGCCATCCATCCAACCATTCATCCATCCATCCATCAAAAAATATTTTCGTTCTTTCCAGTCATCCGTCCAGCCAACCATCTAGCAATCAAACCCTTTGTCTATCCAGCCGTTTATCCAACTATCCGCCCATGAAACCATCCATCCGGGCATCGATTCAGCCATCCATCAAACATCTTTCCTTTGCCATTTCTTTTGACCGTCTTTTCATCCATCCATCCAACCGGCAAGCCATCTATTCAATCAATCATACATTCTTACACCCTGCCATTCATCCAACTATCTGTCCAATAAACCATCCATCCATCCCGGCATCGTTTCAGCCATCCATCAAACCATAATCCCGTCGTCAGTTATTACCGTCAATTCATCCGTTCATCCATTCAACCACCAATCCATCAAGTCATCCATTCAACCATCCTTTTTTAACCCCAGCGATTTGTCCGGCCATCTTTCCATCCATCAAGCCATCTCTCTATCTATCCTTTATTCATCCGACCATCCATTTAACCAGCAATCCATCCAGCCATCCATCGCACATCAATCCAACGGGCCTGCTTCCAGTCCATTTATCATTCCCCGCAATCCCTATTTCCAGCCAGCCATGCATCCTTCCATTGTCTCAGCCATCCATGCATCAAGGCATTATTTATCACCTATGCATGCAACCAGCAATTCATCAAGCCACTATCCATCTAGCAAGACATCATTTATTCAGTTATCCATCGTTCCAATCAGCATTTTCTCCATCTAGTCATCGATCCATCCCTGCATCCATCCTACCAGCCCTCCCTCCATTGATTCATCCATCAGCTATCAATCCAGCCATCCATCGATACATCAGCCATCCATCCGTTCGAGTTCGAACATCCAACCAGCCAGCCATCTATTCGGCAATTCCAGAACTTTTTTTCCGTTTAAAATAAATGCTGTCATTTCCAGGAGCAGCTTTATTATTTTAACCTAAATTTGAGCAAATTCTTGTGGTTAATTTTGCTACCACTGGGCGTGGCGACTATAGAAGGAGTGAGAAAGAGCTATGGACTAGATCGGTTTTCTTCTTCTCGGTTATATAGGTATTCGAAGGAAAGCGCGCAGAGAATCGACTTAAAATACAGTTTCATTCCTTTCATCTGTCTGTATTTCGAAAACATGATCTAAAAATAGCGCTCAGATAAACTTATATGAAATTTAAAAAATCGAAGGACTTCTATTGATCAGCACCTTTTATTGTGATATTCTTATATACGTATGACCTGTTTGATGTTACCCTTTACCTTTCATCCATAAATTAAAGTGGAGCACCGATCGAACTATTTTATTTGCTCAGTTTTGTATCTTGTCGTACTGGTGTTTCTTGCAACATAATCAGAGCTAATATTTGTTTTGTTTTGTTTAGGCATTCGGTGGATTTGTTCCTCGACTTCATCAACGTCTTTGTGCGCATCCTCATCATCCTCTCTAAGAAAGAGGTGAGCGAAGTTTTTTTCTGCATATAAAAATTATTATTGCGTGACCAATAAAGATACGAAGTTTTCTTCGAATTCTCATTTTGGGTTTTCCACAGCTTAGCTTCACCGTGATTTGCTTCGATATTTGAAACCTTTTCTGGAGTTGAAATGGTCTAACGAGCAATCAAGACTTTGTTTGGATTCGTATTCAACTTCAATTTAACCGATTAAGCCATTTAGTTTCTTTTTTGAGTTGTGATTTTGGGTGGATTAAATAAAGAGCCCAGTTATTTCCAAAGAACACGATTAATATAAACATAATTTTATTTCCTGTTTCCAACTTGGTAGTGTTTACAGGAGCGCAAAGGAAACAGCAAACGTCGTTAAAGATGTGAGAACATGAACTAAAACAACTACGATGCCGAAGGAAGAGCATCGACAAATCGTCAAACTGGTCCTCATACTTGAACTTGAACTCAATCATTCAATACTAAATACGTATATACAGATGATGCTGTAACTCTAAATTGTAATAATCGGTTGATGCAACTTTTTTGTATTAAAAACAAATTTGAAGAATATGCACAAATGTCTTTGTTGCATCATGCCTAATGAATAGCTTAACCATTAGCAAGTGCTTGACAAATAAAACTGTGACATGCTTAGACTCTTTAGATATATGATTCCTTTCGGTGTACATGTTTCCCTTTTCAAGAGGATTTTACTGTTGCTTCTTTGAATACCGACTTGTGAACCGACAAGGTAATTAAAAACGGAGGCATCCTTCAGCTGTAGCTATTTTTAAAATTCTGCCAAATCGATACAAATTTTAACGGAGGATATTCAACTACACAAGGTCTATATAACATAATTGCATAAGAGTGACCAACGATGTCGCGTCAACGTTTTGCGAGCTTGTCAGAAGAGGCTAGCGCTCCATGGGAAACTTAGTAGAGCCGGTTGACGCGGCTAAGCGTACTTGTCGGAGACCGTGAACCGTCAACTACAAGACAAACTTCCTGTTTCTTTAGGACTGTTTAGCTTAGTTTTTAGAATGTTAGAATGGAGATAATTTTTTCGGCTTCATCGCCTACCACCATCTTAAGAAACGAAGAAACTAAATTGCACAATTATCATTCCGATTTTCGAAGGTCACGAAATACCTAAGCTCGAGTTATTTTTGGCAAAATAGTGACTAGCCTAAAATTTCTGAAAGCGAAATTCTCAATTAGCAAACAAATACTGAATTTCAAACAATTTTGAAGGTAGAATCATAACTTTCCAATCATGCAGAAGCTTTCCTTGACAGATTTTTTATTTTTTTTTTCGTAATTTTGAAAACTACCCGTACAAATCAGATGTTACGTTCAACCCAAAGAACAATTGAGGGAAGCTCACCTGCATATGCGGCTCTGCCCAATTTTCCGAATACAAAAACTTTGCCTATGGAGAAATCGTATTTCGATTTTTTGACCGTTTTTTTTTTTGAAAATTAAATTTACTTTTCCCGAAACTTCTCTACGAAATAAGAGTTTGTGTATTGAATCAAAATAACAGGTTTTTAAACAAGCAAAACTTGTGAGATAGTATCAACTCTCTTTTTCGAGCCTAAGTCGCAAATATAACTGTTCGTTAGGAAAGTGCTCATTTTCATCAATAACCAGCTATTAAGTACAGGCAATGCTAAGGATATTAACGCAGACTATTAAATTACCAATAGCACTTTAGCTTCAAGGTATCATGGATCTGTAGCGTAGAGGTGGGGACGGAGACCAGCAACAAAATAATAGGGTTCCAACCTAGTCAATGGCGGACGTTTTTAATCAACTTTTTCGTAAACAAGTTATAAATTGAGGCATGTAAGTTGGTAAATTTGACAAGCTTTTTTTTCCAAATTGAATGTTACTGCTAATGCGTTGCGTCTTGATTGGATTGCATGCATCACTTAGCATTTATGTGGACTCATAATTGGCGTGTGTCACTTAAGAAATTTTGTAGACTGAAAAATTCTTTCATTCAGTTTTTCCCAGCAGCGGTATCGGTCGGATTTTTGCTTTTCTATGCCAAGTGCAACTTCGCCGCTCTCTTTAATTTTTTTTGCGTAAGTTACTACCCACAGCAATTTTGTACACAAAAAAACTATGGTTCTCAGAAAAATCAAATCTGATTCATTGACTAATTTTTGGAATCTTTTCAACTTTTCTGCTACATTCACAGAGCAAACATTTTTGGTTTCATGGTTGAAACAGATTATAGGAATCTCCCCTGCTTAATTGGCTACGCCCCGCCCAATTTTTTTTACACAAAAAGTTATGCCCCTCGGAATTGTCAAAAGCTAGATTTTTTGACAGTTTTTTTTTGTTTCTGCTTCTTCTTGAAAACTACCCGCCCAAACCTGAGATAGTAAGTTCTACCCAAAGGAATTTCCTAATATACAAAATTATGCTTTATGGGTAAATCAAAATTTTGATTTTCTATAGGTTTTTCAAAATTTAAATTTCCTTTTCTCGAAAACTGTCTTTCGAAACAGAATACTGAAATAACAGAATTTATACACACAAAACTATGATTTTCGAAAAAATCAAATGATTGATTTATTGACTGTTTTTTCGAAACATTAAGTTTTTCTTGAAAATTGTCCTGCATTTTATTAGGTTGTGTTTGATCGAAAAACCTGGTTTTGAGAATAGTCTCTGATGCAGCGGCCATTGCTTTTTTCTTTTCTGCAGAACAAACTAATTGAATTCGGAAAGTCAACTTTTTGCTTTTTGGAACGATCTTAGAACATTTTTGACTTCTCTCAACTACCCTATCAAATCTGAGATGGGCTCAATTTAAAGAACCGGTTGTATTACTCCCTAAAAAGTTTTGTTTTCAAAAATTAAATGAAATTTTTTATCTATGGGAAGATACCAGTTTTCCATTTGATTTCGTAGAAAAACAACTAAGAATTTGGGCAAAATCAAATTTTTCAAATCAACACATTTTAATCAGCATCAGAATAAAACGTTCCAAAATTGTAAAAGAGCTATTTCAGCTTTAATTAGGCCCCTTTTATCTTATATCGAGACAGACAAAATTTTTGGTGTACCTATTTTTTCAACTTTTTTTCTTTTTATGAATCCTACGTTTTCAATATGAATTTTTAACTTTGTGTTGTATCCCAAGTTGTACAAAATCCGATTCGCCTTTGCTTTTAGGACGATTTTTCTTTTTTAGACATGTTTCAACAAAAAGTATTGGCGAGTTTTCCTTTTTTATGGTTGTCAAATATGCCAAAGTCCTAGTTTCTCTTCAGATGTTTTAATCACGCAGATAAAACGACACTGGATTGGAATTTTTTTAACACTATTTGTTCTTGAAAGTTTCAATTTTCAAATGGACCAGAAAATATTACTTGAAATGGAATGAAGCGGAGGCATTGGGCTAAAACGTGTGAATTTTTTCTCTCAGAAAAGAATCTTTACACTTGCGAAAGCAAATATCTTTTTGTCGGGCGCTAGATTTTTTTCCCGTAAGCAACTTTTCTTACACAAGGCAACTTTAATTTTGGATCACCGCGTGTTTTCGGCTCAATGCACGCTCGCACACTCGGAAATTACTTGAAAGTTGTATAATGCTACTTTTTACGTTTCCGTTAGATTTGAACTTTTGGTATTTCCAAAAAATTGTTGATATTTTTGTCAACAATTTTCTTCAATATTTTTGTTTTCGGATCAATTGATGCTCAACTAAGTGTTATTGATTTAGTAATTGCTCAAAAAATACCAAAGTTTGTTCAATAGTAATAATTTTGTCTCTTGTTTGTGTTTCTGAGATTGACTTTGTCGTGTTTCCAAAAAAATGGTTGATTTTTTTTTCAAATTCTTTTTGACTTCGTTTTTTCTACCCTACTGTCTGTTTGGCGGCATGCAATGTTAAATTTCTGTGAGAATTGTTGAGGGGACTGATTCAGCAATGGTGAACATGTTTGATCCACATAATTTCTGATTTTTTGTAATTGAAAATTTTTCGGCCACTTGGAACTATTAGAACTATTGCCTATCTGCTCATTTTCGTTGCCTTAGCTCCTACAAGTTTTTTGAACGTTTCGGCTTCTTACTAGCATTTTGAAAGCTCTTTGTAAAGCATCTCTTGTTGCAGTTTATTTTGGTCTGGGTTTTTTCAAAAGGTTTTTTTTTAATTTTTAAATAATTTTGACAAAATGATTTGAAGGATTTTTATTTACTTCTTGATTTGTCATTTTATTTGTTTTTTTTTTCCAAATATAAAACAACTTCTACCCTCAATCAGTTTAAGGGGCAAAAAAAACAAATTTTTTCCGACAATAAATTTTGCTTCTCTTCACACAAAATCAACAGTTTTATAGAGAATTCGATTGAAAAGCTAGCAATGCAATCACACATAAACATCGTGAAAACCAAATTTGTTTAATTTTTTTTTTCAAATATAATTCATAAAACTAAGACAAACGTGATATCTCGGAGGCTAAAGCATTTTAACAGCCATATTTAGAGGCAAAATTTGTAAAGTCTGAGCTTACCCTGACGGCACCAACAAAAGGGTTGGAAAAATCACATTTTGTTTAATTTTTGAGATCCAAGTTATTCAAAAAGTTATCACTTGAACTAATAAACTTTGGTTATTCGAATTTGGAGGTCAATTTTGCAACTTGTAGGGTTTCTTATTAAAAATTTTTTCTCTAATATCTAAAAATTAGTATTCAAAAAATAAAAAAATAAACGTCAAATCTCAAAGCTTCAACGTCAGATTGAAAAAGTTTTCCGCAAAACAAACCTTTGCTTGTATCAACTGAATCCACGAACTGAATCAAAGTGAAGTTAACTGAAGTTCATTCGTTTTTGTCCATGCCAAGCGTTTTGTTTCTACGACAAGAGTTAAGGCGTGGGTAGCGCATAAATGTTTACTTTGTTTATTGTCGTGGTTTCTTGGGTGCCACCGTATTTGTACCCATTTTGACAAGATATAATCAAATCTGATTGTTTGATTTTATAAACGTTGTACATTTGTTTGAGAAAAGGCCTGCTGCTAAATCCAAAGTTGTTTGACATAGTTTGGACTGTTTTCAAACGTTCACGCAGGCGTTAATGATAGTTTACTTATTAACTTGTTATGAACGAGAGATCGGCTATAGGCCTTTTTATATATTACTCTTTTGGGTTAATTTATTTGTCAAACTATGAACAGCCCTTTCCTTTTACAGGAACCTCCCATTCTATATGAGACTGAAGATTCTACTCCCATACGTATAGGAAATAACATCTCTATTCTTTATGGTTCGAACTCCAGTTGCAGTGGCCTTACCAGTGACTCATATGCGACCGAATGCACTTTTTCTCTCATTTTCATCTGGCTTACCTTAGGTGCCAGCGTCGTTGGTTTTATCGGAAACGCTCAGATTGCCTGGTGCTATGGTCGTTACCGCGGATTAACTACAAACTCGGATAAATTAGCGTTCACCTATGGACTGGTGGAGACTTGTATGTGTATTTCTTCTTTTTTTGCGTCTCTGTTTATTTTGATCACACGAAACAAAGCCTTTTGTATTTTCTACGTGATATATTTCATTTTGAATAGCCGCACAACTTTGCATTTGATTGTGGCCACAGCTGTTAATCGCTATGCGACAAGTGTTCGGTTTCATACTCACGAGACGAGACTCTCACGACTCACGAAGAACATCCGACCTATGCTTGTTGTACTTCTGTTTGCAACAGTTGTCGAAATTTTTCTCCAAGGATCAGTCACCTGCTTCAAATACGAAAACATCGGC